TTTATGTGTATTATTTATATTATTATTTTATATATATTAATTAGGACTTTACCCGCTTTGGGGAACTTTTGTGTTACATGAAACAAAAAAAGTAGACTTTTTACTCATTGGGCAGCACGGTGGCTTGGCGGTTAGCACATCTGCCTTGCAGCACTGGGGTCCTTAGTTCAAATCCCAACCAGGACACTCTGTGCATGGAGTTTGCATTAGAATGTCACCCCTCTAGATATACTCACATAGATCAGCAGGGACTACTGACCCCTTTCCTTGTGCAGATTTCCTCCCACACTCCAAAGACATGCTGGTAGCTTTATTGGCTCCTGTCTAAATTGGTTCTGTGTATGTGAAATGGGGACCTTAGATTGTAAGCTCCTTGGGGGACTGATGTGATGAATCTTTAGCCTGAAATAAAAAAATAAACGTCCCTTTTTGAAGAAGCATTAAAATTAATCCAAAGATGGTGTTTTTTTTGGCTTTCTCAGGGTTCTGCAAAGCTGGAAAAAGCTGAGATCCTGCAGATGACGGTGGATCACCTTAAGATGCTGCACACTGCTGGGGGCAAAGGTAAATCTCCACTTCCTACAGAAGACGGCTGTGATCACTGCCGGCCATACTTCTCTATAGCACATAGACGGCCGCAATGTGACGCAAGGGACGATTATTGTATTTTTATTGCAGAGCTGTAAACCAGGCTGCCAGTACACAAATAGACAAGCATGTTTACTGAGTTGGTATAGGTGGTATGGTAAGCTTAGCTTAGTGACAACAGTTCTGAGCAAGTTGTCACACCCAGTCTGGTTCAATAATCATCATCCAGGCCTATGGACATATTATGAACCTACGAAACACCCCCAACTTTTAAATCCCAGATAAAATAGTGATGAGTGTGTAGGTCCTGGAGCTTCTGTTGGGCAGCTAAGGTGGGACTTCTGTTGGGCAGCTAAGGTGGGACTTCTGTTGGGCAGCTAAGGTGGGACTTCTGTTGGGCAGCTAAGGTGGGACTTCTGTTGGGCAGCTAAGGTGGGACATCTGTTGGACAGCTAAGGTGGAACGTCTGTTGGGCAGCTAAGGTGGGACTTCGGTTGGGAAGCTAATGTGGAGAAGATCTTAATAGTCCCAAGTCAGATGTTCTGCCTGGGAACAGTTGCCTTTATCCAAAGTATCAAGAAACAGCAATCAACAGAAGATTCCAGCGATTGTGTTGTAATTTCTTTAGGTTTTCATAATAACCTTTTTTTTAAATTTAGTAAACATTCCTAGTTGTGTGATCAGCATTAGACTTGTGAGTGGAAAAGATAGCGGAGAAGACTATCTTACAGATGCCTTCAGCTACTCTGTAATGTAATATTTCCATTAGAAAACAGATTAGAAGGTCTTTGTCTAGACTTCTTTGTTACTTCACTATGCCAATGTTAAGATATTCCATTTAATGTAGATTACTCAGAGTGGTGACTTACGTTGTGATTTATGTTTGTTGTAGGATATTTTGATGCCCACGCTCTTGCCATGGACTATCGCAGCTTGGGTTTCAGAGAGTGCCTTGCAGAAGTCGCCCGGTATCTGAGTATTATTGAAGGTATGGACACGGCCGATCCTCTCCGAGTGCGACTGGTATCTCATCTGAACAACTACGCCACTCAAAGGGAAGCTGCCAGCAGTGCCCACTCCAGCCTCGGACACATTCCCTGGGGGGGCGCCTTCACTCATCACCCTCACCTCTCTCACCCTTTGCTCCTGGCACAGACTGCTCATACAAACGGCAGCAGCACAACGTCTTCCACAGAGTCCCACCACCAGAGCAGACTTCCTGGGTCACCACATGCTGAATCGCCGGTGCTGCGCATCTCCTCCAATGGGAGCCTCACGTCAGTGCTGCCAGTCGTCACTCCTTCAAAACTCTCTCCTCCGCTGTTGTCCTCGGTGGCATCCCTCTCTGCGTTCCCGTTTTCCTTTGGATCTTTCCACTTGCTCTCCCCCAATGCACTGAGCCCGACGGCACCGGCGCCCACGGGCAAACCGTACAGACCCTGGGGGACGGAGATCGGAGCCTTTTAGGATCTTTTTTATTAGAAACTCGTTAGTTTTTATGCAGGGGGTGATCTGAAGGGGGGCGGGGGGTGGGACAGTCCAGCTGTGCTGGGCTTCTATCACTGATATTTACATTGTAATGCCAACCTGGGTGATCTGATGGTACCATTACAAACTATTTCTCTTTAAAAAGATCCCTAAATATCATTTTCTTTTTCCTCTAGTGACCTTTCTTGAACAATGTACCTTTCTGTATCAGGATGAACACAGGCCCTGGTTCAATATTTAACTTGCTTTTGTAATGTAATAATCTCAGTTGATGTCATGACAGTGACCCAGTTTAACCAATAGCTTCATGTTTTGACATTTCTTTTCCTATTAAAACAATGATGTCTTAGCCTTTCACGTGTGGAAATCTGCATTCAGCAATAACAATGTCTTTTATTTTGCTAATCCTTCTTTTGTTGTTGTTGTTTTGGGTTGTGATTCTTAATTTGTTAACTATCCTTTATTGGAGTTACATATATATTGCCAAGCGTTGACAAATCACCTTTACCAGCTTTGCCCAAGTGCACCTAAGTTGGTACAAGACTCCACGCGTTCCCTACCTGAATCTGAAGTATGACCTTTTTTTTAAACAGAGTCCTTAACTTCTAATATATTGGATGGTCTCCTGCACTAGAACTTTATTTAACAAGTAGACTAATTTAAGAAGAATGTTTGTACATATTCCCTTATGTGCATGGAAGAGGCACCACCCGGAAGGTGGACTCTACTGTATTGGGTTCAATCACTGTTGTACTGGTCTACTGTGACTAAATAATAAAAAAAAAAGCCAGAGTGTGCTATTTTAAACCTCATGTGTTTCATGTTTTTATTTATAAACTGTGTATTATATATCCTTTTCTATTTCACATCCTTTTATAGTATCATTGGTTGGTCACATTGCTGCAATTCATCATATATAGGCACGCTAACAGAGTTATTCACAAAGGGGTGAAGAGTTTGGAGAAGGCCGGAGAAGTGAACAATCTAGGACAACATAGCGGATGTGGAAACATTCTCCAATTATCTCACTTTCCAGTTCAGTTATTTTGTCCTAGATTGTTCACTTCTCCTGCCTTCTCCAAACTCTTCACCCTTTAGATCCTAGCTGAAACTGCCACCAACACATTTCCAACAATGATTTTAAATGAACATTGGAATGTGTGATCACACAAAATATGTTTCCTGTTCAGCAGTCAATTGTAACTTTTCATAGACAATTTGACGAAGAATCCTTTCCCGGCACGCTGGAAGATCACAATGCAGGTGTGATTAGTTTATAACTTTGCTTATTTCTTACCTGCCACCGATACTTCACCTGGTTATCACACCGGCCAGATTTCTAGCTATCTGGTGATCATTCACAGGCCAGTGCTTCCTTTTTTTTGAAATAAAATGGGGGGATTTACTAAAACTGGAGCAACTGTGCACAATAACCAATCAGATTCTATCTTCAGTTTTTTCAGCTAAGCAAGAAGCTGATTGGTTGCCTTGCATAGCTGTTCCAGATTTTAGTAAATTCCCCTCTGAGTACTGTGAGCTTGTACTATGGAAGTACCTAACACACACATATTGGTGAACAGATCAGTTTCTGTCCCCAACGACATCAGCGGAGGTTTTGCACATTATATATGCACAGGTCTCATGCAGCACAGAGCATCTATCATTGTCCTGACTACAGCTGGCCATACGCTTTACAATCTCTGTACAATCTCCTTTACCAAAACTATTTAACATAAAGACAAGTTTAAACAATCTATTCAATGAGCAGGTAGACCCTTGTACTATACAGTTGATGTTAGATCTAAAGGCGATTGCATAGTGTATGGGCACCTTTAAAGCTTACCACGCATGTTACAATCTGAATGTACAAACTACCCTAGATCTATTTATAAGCTATATAGAGGGTCAGCGTGATCGTGCGAGGGCCTGCGTCATCTAATACAAAGGGATTGGATAGTTTAGGTAGGTGGTCATGTTACATAAGTAAATCTAAAGTTGATTGTACCGTATGATTGAGTATACTCAGCTTTGGGTCACTATACACATTACAGTAAGGACCCTGGTCCTAGAAAGTATGCACCACACCCAGAACAACTGAGCAAGGGAACCATGAAATCAGTAGGACTTCCAAGGTGCTGAGACAGTGAAGTCACCTAAAAATGTGACATTTTGATGGATTATAATTCAAATATAATGATTGTACCAGTCACTTCACTGTCTCGGCACCTTTAAAGCCCTTCTTTTTTCATGGTTCCCTTGCTTAGTGAGCCTAAGCTAATAGAAGCTGAACTCCGATTGGTCGCAAAGGGGTTAATGCTTGTTCCACATCAATTCTCTTCTTATTGTCTTATTGGAAAAGATACATTCTGTATTTTCCCACATATATTTCTGCAGCTCTCACACACAGGAGTAATACAGATAGGAAGGTTAAACATCTGAGGTCAATGAAATCTCACAGCATGACAGACCATTGTGGCATATAAAGGGCCAACCATAGATGATAATTGAATATAACTTCATTGGGAAAATAGCAGAATGGTTGATTTCATTTTCACGAACATAATATGAATACATTACATAAGAGAGATCCAAGTACCATTGCCAATCACACAGCCTCCATACGTGAACAGAATTGTTATTTATAAATATTATGATTATATGATACTATCACTGTCATTGATTTGTTGCAGCATTCCATACCATGCGTGCGTCTTTAACCAGCGTTTGATGAAAGGTAGGCATAGAGCCAAGAGAACTTCCACTAGATGCCAGCTACTTTGTAATAAAAACCTCATTACTTTACTTGTCATGTTCATGTGATCCAATGACTAGAATTGAGTGAATTCTCTACTGTCCATACAGCTGGCAATCTGAGGTCCCGGAATCTCCAGTTACATGTATATTATAGATCTGACACAGGCAATGCGGAGCCCCCTCTAGAGGTGGAACTGAAAAGTGCATCATCAGGAACAATAACCTAAAGTGTACACTCTCGTGACACATATCATCTTAATTCAATTGTTTGTATCTAGAGATGAGAAAATTGATTTCTAAGTAACAGCAAATCTAAGAAAACATTGGCAAGTCATGAGTATGATAAATGGATTTTATGTTTCCTTGTGACCTCTATTGCTTACTAAGTACCTGCAGACAGACAGATGATTCGTGAGTTATTGGGACGTCTATGATTGGCAGCAGATCTCGGGAAACAGATGACGGTGGGAATGGTCAGGTTGTTGTTGCTCCTCCTGATTCCCAATGCTTGGTTCACACTTGTATAATAGCAGTATGACTGTGTATGTTCTAATTGGTTGGGAGGGAAGATTCTGGATTAGACATGTAAGCCCGCAAAAAATTGGTTTCGGTTAGTTTTATTTTGGATTATTTGTTATTTCGTTTTTCAGGATTCTGTTCAGAGAGTCAAATCTTTTCGGTATTCGTATTCAAATTTTCATGAATTTCGGCTGCATTAGACCATTACAAATGAATATTCACTGCAGCAAAGTGACATTACAAAAAAAAGTGACATTTTTCTTTTTAACTTTTTGAAAAAGAAAAGAAAAACAGCGTACGGTTCGCACACCCCAATTCATACCAGATCCTTTAGGTCTGGTAGGAATTTCTGTGGGACCCCAACACCAAAAAAACAGAAACTAATCATGGGGGACCCCCTAAAATCCCCCACCAGACCCTTGATCCGACAAGCTGCCTGGCAGAGCAGGAAAGGGGGGCCACATGCCCTCAACACGGGGAGGGTGCTTTACCAAGGGGACCTGGTAAAGGACAATTAGAGTCTATTAGATACATAAATTGTTCCAAGCACAAACGGTGACCAGTTACCCTAAAATCTTACAAGTCACATGGAATGTTCTTCATTCACAATCAGTTTGGTAAGAAATCTTCATTAATTCTTCAGAGAATAATTTACACAATTATAAAGAATAACCTGGAAAACCAATTTACACTACAGCAGACCTGATATGTGACCATTGCTGGGCTCTGTGTGTGTGTGGTGATGTCTTCCACCAGTTCATTCCATCATATTCATTGTCAGACAGGTTTCAGAATTGTCTGTCAATACTGGAGCAGGCAGAATCTGGAGCAGCTGTGCATGGCAACCAATCAGCTTCTCTCTTCAGTTTGTTCAGTTAAGCCTTGTAAATGAAAGATAGAAGCTGATTGTTACTACGGGCGACTGTTTCAGATTATGTCTGCTCCAGTTTGGATAATTTCCCCTCCCGGTGTTCTACTGAACCAACAAACTGGTCAAAAAACATAAAATTCGGCTTTCAGTCCAGTAATTACTACCACACTTCAGGACCTGATGAAGGGGGCTCCCTCTGACCCCCAAAACACGTTGGCTTTGTGATAAAGTCGCTTACTTCAATTTGTAATAACAAATTGTGGACATTTTATTTTCATTGTGGTGCTTCAATCTCAGATTATCTCCTCTACAAACCAAATGGGAATCCTTCAGTGTGGAGAAGCTGCCAATCCCAAGCATTCAGATATCTTGGTCAATTATTTCCATACTCCATAATAAGGTAACTATAAGGTCCCAGCACTACCTCATCCAAACAAAAAATGTTCATTCATACTAAAGTATTATGAGCTGCTTAACAATATGTATCCCCCTCTAACCACATGTTCAATCCCTCAGTAACAATACCTACTTGGTCAGATTTCTACCCAATGTCGCCCTCATGTGGTCACCTGTTGTTTTGCAGCACTGTATGTGGACATTTTGCAGGTATATTTGATTTCTGAATAGAGGTATATAAGATCACCTGAAAGCATCTTAATGCTGCTGGATGGATACATTCACCCAGACAGGTTCCTCCAGTATTTGGGTAATCCTTTTACTGCTGGTGCATCTGTTTAATTGTTTACACGGCCAATAAAAAGTACAAAGAAAACATTTTTTAAAATGTGGAGCACCTATAGAACAGTATTGTTTTTCTACATCCCTCGTGCACATTTTCAGTTAACAAAATACACTAAAATAAAGTGCACAATATAATCTCAAAAAGGTCCATTAAAGTTTATGTTAATCCACAATTCTACATAGGTTTGGATTGAGCGTGGAAGGTTTAGAACTACTGTCAGGCTTTACTGCTGTGTGTACCCCCACTAGGGAAGATTCATCCTCTCCATTTGTCATGGTGACCACTGTCTCCAGTACAGAAAGTGAGGCTGCCATAGGAACAGGAAGTGAGGGAAATGTTCCAATGGGGACACCCATTCTGGTATCAACTGTCTTAGAGGGGATAACCCCTTAATTTGGAGAGATCTTCACTTCCTCCTATGTTTCTAGGACAGGG